GTATACTCTTGGAAGTCAAGCTTCCTCTGTGCAAGGTGCCGTGTGACCCGTCACATGAAATATTTTCTCTCAATTTCGACCAAGTTTGAGACTCGAGCCCACACACAAGAAGATGGACACCCTATTTAACGAGGGTCTGCCCTCATGCTACCTCATGGTCTGTCTTCAAGAGATCAATTTCATTGACCGTCGCCATCTCGACACGCTCCACTTCCATATCTAGTCGCCGTATGCACTCAAAATGTTTGAGAGCGATGGTAATGTGCTGCTAGCGCAGCCTACGCGAGGAAAAAGGAAATTTCGGCCACCACAGAGATAATGTTTCTCGTTTGATTTTGCTTTATCAGCACGCACTGCAGGATCGGCTAGCTCTTCAAGTATGTCGTATCGCTTCATGAATAGCATAGCTCGCTGCAGTAGCCCCCAATGCGCTCTAGATATACCAAAGCGATGTGGCACCACTCGGAAAGGCAACCGAGAGGCTGACCAACTCAGTAACACCAGAAGCAGGATACGGTCGGGGTTCGATTCCGGCCACCCGTGACATGTGAACAATGTCTCACCCGTTTGATCTTTATCGTACATGCTGCTTTTGTGCATGTCTATGCGGTCATCGACGTCTTGAAGCACAACAATAAATCATTTGAACATCAGAAGCAACTATATAACGTCGTGGGCGTAGCGTAAATACGCTACATGCGTAATGCGATACTTGTAAATATCCAAAATCACCGACTTCCACCGAGTTCACCGTGTTTATGCCTCGAAGATGGCGTGTACACAGCTCACCTTGGTGAACCTACATCGTCGATTGGAGAGCGGTATCATGAACGTTTTGTAGCATTTCTGCTGGAACAGCTTGCACCCGCGCCTGCTGGCCACAATTGTAACGGGATTTACACGAACCCTAATAACAGGGGTGTGTGCGTGTCACAGGAGATATGAATAATGTGACCACACCTAAACAAGTGACCACACCTAAACAAGAATACGGGACGGGGCTAGGTAGCCAGTAGTTATAGATGTATTAAGATTTTACTACATATATTAAGTATATTTAGGACAATCTAAACTTTAAACATCAGTTAACAATATAAATAAAAATCAGTTTCGATTCTGAACAGAAGTGTTCGTTTGCCTTGGTTAAGGCTTTTTATTACTTCAGAGGCAGCGGATTGCGATTCGTTGAACTAGTACTTGGTTCTTGTAAAGAACGAAAGGCCGGTGACCTATAGACGCTTCCTCGAGCGCAAAGCTACGGCAGCCCCGCTGTACTTGGTAGCACTTGTAGTCAATCTACACCTGAGTCGTTTAGACTGATCCTCGGTGAAGATGGAGAGATTTTCCTCTTTGCCCCAGGGCAGGCAGGATGGGATTAATAAGCTGATGTATTTGCTTGGCCCCGAGGGCGTGCAACACCTTGTGGCACAAGGCCCCGAGGCAATCGGTGCGCGTCTAGAGG